ACCCACCCCCTCCCATCTCTACTGTAGGCTAACCCTCGTCCATCCTCTCGGCTTTGGGGCCATTATTAGGAGGTACACTAGATCTAGCAATACAATATGTTAGGAATCGAGGATGGGCCTTATGCTTCGCATGAGATGGAGAGAAAGGAGAAAAATTCTTCGCTTTTGGGGCCGCTAAATGCTTTTATTTGGTTATCGCAACCTCGTTGAAAGTGATTTTGGACTGTTTGCAACCTCGTTGGGGCTGACGTACATTTACAAAGAGATATGGAGGAAAAATCAGGGATTAAGGAATAACACCCCAAAATACTGCACCCTTTGTTATACATGAACAAAAAACCGACGTGTGCCGTCTCAAATGTTTCCTAAAGAGTTTCTCGCTGGACCAGACAACACTTGGCTGACCTTTCAACCGGTCCCTGATGGTCTCAGAGATCTCCTTGGTCCAGGCCGTCGTGTCCTCGGAGCTGTACGTCTTCCCCGTCAACTTCTCCCCCAGCACAGTATGCAGCATTTCTTTCACATTCACCGGACGGAACCTGGGCAAGGAAAAACAAAACTCCAGAGATCACACACGAAAACAAACCCCAAGTCTGCGCTCAGATCACTGAACCCTGTGGTAGGACATCTTTCTGCCCAGTTGACCATTCTATCTCTTGAGACAGCCCTGTTGACCATTCTATCTCCTTGAGACAGTTGACCATTCCATCTCCTTGGGACAGTTGACCATTCTGTCTCCTTGAGACAGTTGACCATTCTGTCTCCTTGAGACAGTTGACCATTCTATCTCCTTGAGACAGTTGACCATTCTGTCTCCTTGAGACAGCCCAGTTATACATTCTGTCTCTTGAGACAGCCCACTTTTTCCCGAGATACAGAATCTACTTTCTAGAAGACGACTTCCTGACCACTGGGTCACCATCCTGAAAGGTTTCCGCGATATGTAGAATATCTGGCCCCCCTGTCACTGAGCGCTCCAGGCGACAAAACTAGTCTCCCTCTCTCTCTCCACTGAGCGCGCGCAGGGTGACTAAAATCGCTCACGGGCGGGCCAGCTCTCAAGCAACTATTGTTGATTCGGGGGAAAACCTTATCTTTTGAGCAAATAAAGCGTCACCTTTTATGGTTATTATTGGTTCCATAGGCCTAATGGAAAATTTTACCCTTGAATGGTTTAACCAATCAAAATTAAGAAAAAAAATATTTATGGTTATTATTGGTTCCGTAGGCCTAATGGAAAATTTTACTCTTGAATGGTTTAACCAATCAAAATTAAGAAAAAAAATATTTATGGTTATTATTGGTTCCGTAGGCCTAATGGAAAATTTTACTCTTGAATGGTTTAGCCAATCAAAATTAAGAAAAAAATAAGCCTAGGCTAGGGTCAATTTTGTGGGTTCCGTTAGGGATAACATAGTTATTCTGTTTATCCAATTCTAACATTACAATGACATACTACTAACATTATTTCATTAAACAGCTTTCAGTTAAGGCTATTATTTTTAAAAACATACACTACTCTCGCAAGGGAATTTCTTTCTGAATTTAGAACATATAAACACCTGTCTAGGGTTTTGGTGAAGATATGTGAGCATACTCTCAAGATTTAAAATAAATGAAACAATAACATTCCCTGTGGGGACCTAAAAAAATCAGCCAGCGCTCGGAGGCAGGTCATGAACGGTCACCAGGGCTCCCCTCTACGCACAAATGTGCGTATATTACACATTAAACCTGCAGATTACCCCCTTTAAGTTTAGGTTGTGCGTGAGCTTTACTCTTTACAATTTCATTTCAAGGGTTTGCATACGCTTTAAAAAGTAGGTGGTGTGTGTCTGGCAAGCATCCTTTCCCCCCTTCTCTATCCCAATGCTGAGTAAATGATTTGAAAACACACCCACACACATCTGCCGTCGTAAGGGAAAACGACGAATGGTCAAAATTTCTCGATTTTGTTATGTTTATATATTTCATAGAGTATTTAATTCTGCATCTTTTGGTGTAAATTTTTTGGTCATATCCTAATCCGTTGTTGCGTAATTGAGAGTTCGTCGTTTTCCCGTACACTGGCGAGCTCCGAGCCAGAGCTCAGTGTAAGGGAGAATGACGAATGGTCGATCGGTCAAGGATCACTGCTCGTTCGGCATTGTCCCCTGGTCTCTGCCGTTTGGGCAAATTCGGCATGGGCGACGAATGACAATTGGTCACTGTTGCGTCAGTACAAACATACTAGTTTTTTTTGGCAAACAAACACACCACCACCCCCTCCCCCAGAGTAGAATTGACCAACTTTATAAGAATGTATCTCTTAGTGTTTCTTTCTGTCTGTCTTCACGTATTAGGCCTATGCTGAAGGTGTGAATTGACAAGAGCAGGCGGGAGAGAGGGGAAAACGGATGGGAACAGGG